AGGGGTTATAAATATTTTTAAATAAACTATAGCAGACTCAAGTTTTCCCCCTGATAATTCAGCTCTCACTCACATGAATTCCCTTGTTCTTTCTTGAGTGAGAGGAGAGAGTGTCAAGCTAAAGCAGATCTTGGAGAAGTTTGTGTCATCCTGGTGTCTCTTCTCTTGGGCATGTGTGGCATATATATGAAAGTCATTCATCATGTGTATTCTTGTAGAGAAAAGATGGGTTGGTGCTAGGACTGGGGGGTGCTGGACCTCACTTCCATCTCTGGTGTGTGTTCATCAACCACAATCCAGTTCAGTACCCAAAACCAGAACAATCACATGTGAGTTTGATGATGCCTCCCTAGTGTCTTTTATTTAAACCCTGTACTGCACTGTACGCTGAAACACACACCTTAAAATGTTCCTACATTGTGCTTATGACATAAACAAAGAAAATTTATTTGCCAGAAGGTCATAAAAATAATCCCTGACTGATTCTTAAACAAATAAATAAATAAATACACCTAACCTGCCCTTAGTAAATCTAGTTTATAGTTCATCTTGACTCAAGATAGCTTTAAATTTTCTAAACACCAGTAAGGGTGACCTCATTGGTAAGCCAGGCAATTAAATTGTAGTCCAAAATTTATGGAACACCTACTATGATTCAAGTACTCTGCAAAGTAACAAAGATAAAACAGTACGATCTCATTCTTGGGGATCAAAATAAACCTATAGTCTCTATCCTAATAAAGTTTATAGTATTTCCACGTTGGAACCAATCCAACACTTGACTCAAGCTTTCATTTCTACCTACCTACCTTCTTCTTCTGAAAAAATTTAAAAGTCAGTTTCTTGAACTATCTTCAATTCCTGCTTCTTAATGAGCTGCTTTAATCTTCTTTTTCTTTCACCCACCCCCACCTCCTACCCACTTCTAACCCTCCATGGTACTGCATAAATCTATGGCTATTCTCTTGAATAAAATCAGCTCAGTGTGCCAAGTCCTATGTTGAGCTCACTAGGAGAGATCACTAGATAGGGGAGCCTTGGTGTACCTTCTAGATGCTTGTACTCCAGTGTACTACATAGATGCACAAGGCTGGTGGAGAGACATGTGAAGAGAATGACCGCCTGTGATGAGTGCAGAGGAAAGAGATTTTTCTTGCAGTTCAGGAGAAGGCATGTAAAGGTGGAGAATTTACACTAGCTCAGACCCCTTCCTCTACTCTAATTAGTGTAACCCCTTCTCTCCCAGCAAAGATTTGCCGAGGAGTCTGTCCTTCCAACAAGGAGCTCTTTTCTCAAAGAGATTTTGTCTTAGCTAATACAGGAGCATTTTACTCCATTTTGCTTAATGGACAATACTGTAACAACATACCAACATAGCAGAGAAAAAGAAAAGCTCATGAAAAGGGGGTGATCTTTATTGTTCTTTACGTGTAAATCATGTAGAGTTTTGTCATGCCTGGGCCAGATCGTTAACATGTATTATTACCTGTTACATCTGTTAAAACTGAATGCCTGAGACAGTTTCTGAATTTTTTCAAGCAAAATCTGAATGTGTCTGGCTTCCAGAAATGAGCCTACTCGGAAATTTTATAAAGCAAAAGCCTTTAAAGATAGATATTTTCATGACAGTTCCCTCAAAGAGTGATAAAGAAAATAAATATAGGCTTGTTTCTGTTTGCTTGAGTGACTGTGGTTTCTGTGTGAGATTTTAAATTGGAAAGTCTTTTTTCTTGAAGAAAAAAATAATCACACATACAAATAAGACTCCTGAGGTCTCATGAAAAATGAGAGGATTTGAAATACTGAGACAGTGTTGTTTGGGCTCTTGTTCTAATCAGAATCTCCTGAGGAAGCTGCCCCTAGATTTCTCAGGGTTGGCTCAAAGCAAGTAGCATCAGTGCCTGGCTTATCACAAGCCCTATATAGGGCCCAGAATAGATTGGCTTTCCTTACCAACACTAAATTTCACATAAATGAGCAGACTATGTGATTTACAGAGCAAAACATTCCACTTCTTCTTCTTCCTCCTCTAGCCAGTTTTGTAATGAAGAGAGATTATTTTCCTGTTTAAAAAATTGTTCTTTGAACTGGGCACTGGTGGTTCATGCCTGTAATCCTAGCTACTCGGGAGACTGAGATCTGAGGATCAGAGTTAGAAGCCAGTCCAAGCAGGAAGGTTGTGAGACTCTTATCTGCAAGTAACTACTAAAAAGCTGGAAGCAGAGCTGTGGCTCAAATGGTATAATGCCAGCCTTGAGTGAAAAACGAAAGGGACAGCAGCTAGCCCCTGAGTTCAAGCCCAAAGAAAAAGAAAATAGTGTTCTTTTAAATGTTTGTGTGAGTGTGCACAGGTGCATACACATAGACACATGCAAACAGCATGTGATAATATTCATAAGCAGTTAGAGATAGTTGGCAAAAAAAAATTGTCTGGAGGAAATGATGTAACACACCACCCTCCAAAAGAAAGAAAAATTCTCCTATCCCTCTTTGAACCACAAACAGTGTTTTTATAGGCCAGCTCATTGTTTTTCTTCTCTCTGAGAAATTAAAGATGTAACTGCTATGATGAGTTCTACAGGAAAAAGACCATTTCCAGGGTTTCATTTCTTGATGAAGTGCAGCCACCTCCCTTGGTTTCTGCCACACGTAGGCAAACTCCCAGAAATAAAATCTTCCTGTTGTCTTGAGGTCATCCTCTTGGCCCAGGGGATTTGCCCCTCCCTTCTCTTTGCAGCAAGAACTCCCTGGGGTGAAGGCAGGAGGACACGGTGTGAAAGACAGAGTAACTGGTGTCCCTCCTGCGCTTGTCCAGAGTCACTTGGCATGGCTTCCGCCTTGTTACTACTTCATCTGGATTGTCTCTCCAGAAATTAAAAACAAAGAAAAAAGAACGTGTGCCTGTCTTTTATAATGTTCTGTTTTAAAAGAGAGAAATCTCTGGGGACAGAACAGGACCCTGAAATTCCAAGGCCTGCAATTCCTCCTCTCGCTGTTCCCATTTTAAACAGGAAACGCTCATGCTCCAAGAGTCCAGAGGGAACACTGGTTGTATGTTCATTTTAAGGCAGATAATGTTTGTGTGTTGCAAATGTCAGTGATTTATCCTCAGGGTTTAAAATGAGTGCAGGAAAACCACATGTTTCACTTCATGCAGAGAAATATCTTCTGTTAAGTTTCGAGAGAAAGCACAGGTTAAGGATTTTTTTTAAGTGTTTCTGAAATCTCCAACATTAAACCAGAGGAAATAGAAATGAGCAGAACTGGCAGCAGGAGGGCGGTGGGCAGAGGGTGGGGAAGACTTTAAAAATTCTTATGCTACAAGGTATAATAAGTGCCGGAAGTTTGCTAAATCAAAAATGAGATTCTCCAGTAAAGACATGATGCAACCTGGGTCCTTTCTTTTCCAGGGCTGGAGTGACAGATGATAAGCAATGTATTTGTGCTCTATTTGTCATGGGCAATTTAAAACAGAGCAAAGCAAACTGCACTGAATAATAGCAGCTGATGCTATAATAACTTGTACGCAAACAATTTAATTTTTTTTATCTGAAAACTCTCACTAACTAAATTACCCCAAGCTCAAGGATCTATCTTTCATTATTATACACAGCCAAATTAAGATGCATCCACACAAATGTAGTGGGAGAATTCTATTGTTCATCTTTATGGATGGGTGGATGAGTTCACAGGCTGTTTTCCACATGCACCCGAGAGCCCAGAGCTTGTCAAATCTTCATTGATTTGGGGAACAGATAGAGCCTTTTTAACATCCAACTCTGCAGATTACAGAGTGATTTTGACCCTCACTGACAGTGGCTGATTAACCACAGGCACTGTGTTCTTACAGCCCCTGTCATTTCTTTCAAGTGTTCTATTAGTCTATGCTCTGACATCGTGAAGCCTTTCATTAATTATTATTGTTGCTGTTTTTCTTTAAAAAGAAAAAAAAAAGATAAAAGTTCCTAAAAGGGGGATTGGTTGAAATGGAAGAACCCAGGGACATGATTGTGAATGGTGGTGGTAAATATGTGCACAGAAGGTTTATGGGATTTTAAGAGCTGCAAACAGAAGTCATGTGTTTCACCCCAGGCTAGACAAGATGCCGTCATCTGCACATTGTCTAGAGACGGATTGCTTCTGTTATGGCAAACAGATCAGAAGACGCTTGTTGTCTTCAGTAGAAAGATCCAGGCAGGGTCGCTTCCTGTTAGTGTTTATTCTTGCCCTGGACCTTTCCTGTATGTCTGCCCATTACACAAGGCAACTGACAGCTGTTTTGGTTTTTCCCATTCTGCTACTGGTGGTACTTCTTGATTTTGCGATGTTATGTCAGAGTGCGGGTGGGTAATTCCCAGCCCTGGATTGGGAGATTTTTCTGAGAACTGCAGAAGGAAAGAAATACTCATCTACACCACCAAAGTGTGACAACAGTCAAGAGAACAAGTCAAGACCTCAAACACTGAAAGAGCACCACCAAGACCTAGGAGAGGAGTGAGGAGAGCAAAGGAGAATCTGTGACTCCAACTAACCTCTTGGTTTCTGTTACCATATCTGGGACAGTCTTCAGAGAGTCAAAAGACTAAGCAAGTATACTGGCCCTAGCTTTAACAGAGCCAACACCAACCTAATGGAGGAAGCTACTTTAGCTACTATAATAAAAATCAACAAAAGAGGCTATAAACAAGATCGTAGCACCAACTTGAGCATGAGCTGTCCTAATTAACATGGTGGCACATAGCTTCAAGGCCCCAGGCTCTTGCATTCCTGCTGCTCTGCCTTTCTCGGTACATGGTTTTCACCTACAGTCTCAGGTAGCTGTTTCAATGGGCCAACAAGAAGGGTAGGAGAGAAGAAAGTTTGTTCTCTTGTTTTCAAGGGCACACATCACTTCTGCTTACCTCCCATTGCCCAGGCTTGGTTTATTGCCACAGTGAACTATACTGAAGGCTAAAGAGTACTGAGTAGCTGCTGACATGAATCTCTGCTTTTCTTTCTAGGGGAGGACCAGCAGACCCTGCAGACTATCTGACAGCAGCATCCCGAGGGCTCTACAAGGAAAGGGAGCTTCCATACTACCCAGGGGCTCATCCTGGGCATCCACTCAAAGTGGGGAGCTATGCCCGCCCCCCAGATCTGAGGTTGGCAGATCTCCGCTATCCTCAGTACTACCCACCCCCACCTGCTCCTCTGCACAAAGGACCCTTCCGACAAGATGTTCCACCTTCTCCTCCTCAACACCAGAGAGTGCCAACCTATCAGGAATTGGGCAGAGCAGGGCCCCGAAGAAGCAGCCCTGATCAGTACCCCTACCATTCCCAGGACCCTCGGCAGAAAAACCCCGTGACTGCAGCCGTATAGCTGAACACCAACAAGAACGGTCCCTCAAGGAAGACATCCAACACCACCTTCACCTAGTCCCTGATGCCTTCTCTGGGTTAACATTCTCCACGGTACACAGTAGCCTTTTCTCACTGAAGATGCCACACTTGATTGTCTATCAGGGCAGGAAAGGAATAGGGGTTTGTTTGGTTGTTGTTTTTTTCTTTGGGGGGGGGGGTGGTATAGGATATTGGATACTGAAGGATGAGGAAGAATAGAACCGTAGAAACGATACTTCGAGATACTTGAAAGGCTTGTCTAATTGCTCAATTCAATGCCAATGCCAATTGAATAAGCAACTAACAATGGCTATGTCTGGTATAGCACCCCCTAGCTAGAATTACCTGTGCTGGTGACATACCCCACACCCCACAGGTTGGCACTAGAGGGCCAATCTCTTCCTGTATCCTTGCCCATTCAGAGGGACAACCTTGAACATTCACTGGAGCAGTAAGGCTTAGAGGTAAAGAGGCTAGCAATATGTGTGCCTTAGTAAGTCTGGTGTATTCTCTGAGGGGAAAAAAAGTAACAGCAAATATGGCTAGTGACCACCTTGAAATATTTCATACCCAGAGAAGGGCTTCTCTGGGAGAAGTTGCAAAGCTAATCAGAGCTTCCAGAAGGAATACAGTCCAAGGACCAAGTAAAGAGCTGATTAAGGTCTTAACCTTATTCCCACTCACATACCAGGCACAGTCACTTAGGGAGATAGTTGGTTTCAGAGTCATCCCTGAATCTTCTGCCTGTAACTATTACAACTGGGGCCTCTAAGACAAAGCTAAAATATACCTGGGGAAAAATAAAGGAGAACCTGCTAGCCAGGCCACCCAGGAAAGCAATGCACCAAGGATGCCAGTTCCACATTGAGTGCCAAACAGAACCCATCTGAACTCAGGAGGAGTAAGGAGCTGACCATGGCTGCTGGAAATTGACCACTAGCAGTGAATGATTGGTGCTGGTGGTGGTGGTGGTGGTGGTGGTGGTGTGTGTGTGTGTGTGTGTGTGTGTGTGTGTGTTCAATCATATGTGATCACCAGTCTGGAGGATGAAAGATAAAAATGCTGTCTAGGAAATTTGATGAGGAAGGTCAAGGAAGGAAAGGGAGAGGTATGTGATTAAATCAATCTGCATCTGCCACATTTCATTAACATATGTTAGGGCAAGGCCTTCAAGTAGAAAAGGAAGGTTTTATGGCTTGAGAAGCTGAAACCCAATGCTCAAAAGTACTTATGCAAAACAACTGTCTTTTGAGTTTCATAGCTATTTCTACATAAGCAAAACAGTTAGCCAGGTGCTGGCAGCTCATGCCTGTAATTCTAGCTACTCAGGAGACTGAGGATCAAGGTTCAAAGCCAGCCTGAGCAGAAAAGTCCATGAAACCCTTTCCACCAAAAAGCTGGAAGTGGAGGTATGACTCAAATGGTAGAGCACTGGCCTTGGGCAAAAAAAAGCCCAGTAAGAGTACAAGGCCCTGAGTTTAAGGAAAGGAAGAGAGGGAGGGAGGGAGGGAAAAAAAGAAAAAAAATCTAAAATGTGCAACTTGTCGCTAGAACTGTGGCTCAAGTGGAAGAGCATCTGTCTAGCCCATGCAATCCTGGAATTGAAAGCCAGTACCTTTAAAGTAAGCAAATAAATGCATAATTAAATAAGTAATTAATAAATAAATAAGTAATTAAATAAATAAACTAAAAGCCTGACCAAATAAAAACATACATGAAAGACAAACAACAAAACATGAGAGCAGTCATCCAAAATTTCTCACTGGCTGTTAAAATACTCTAAGCCTTTTTACATTCTCTTTTTATTTTCCCCCCCTTCCCCACTCCCAAAATGTCTTGAGTTCAGTTTAGACATATTTTGGCCAAGCATAGGATACTCCAACTTACAGGAGTTGATAAATTTAGTATTATAGAATGCACATAATATCGATCTGGCCCAGTTTAGTCTTTTTTGTTTAAAATATCATTTTCCAGTTGTGTGTGGGTCACCTTTGTAATCTTGGCTATAAGGCTGAAATCTGAGGATAAAGTTTTGAAGCCATCCTAGGTAGGAAAGTCCATGAAATTCTTATTTACAATTAACCACCAAAAAGCCAGAAATGGAGCCGTGACTCAAGTAGTAGAGTGCCAGCCTTGAACAGAAAAGCTCAGGGATAACACACAGATCCTGAATTCAAATCTCAGGACCTGCACACACACACACACACACACACACACACACACACACACACACAAAGAGTTTTATTATGAGAAGTAATGCTACTGCATTTTAGACATGACTAGTATGGTTTACTGGACTTCTAGAGCAATCCTTTTCCAAACCACAATCACTGTGACCCTCTGAAAAACAGACTATCCAGTTGTTTGTCCTCTGTCATCTTTCTTAAGCCAAGTACCTTCAGGTTATCTGTAATTTTTTTCAGAGATGTTGAGCTCAGGCTCTGCTCACCCAAGGTGTGGTGTGAGTGAGCTAAAGCTTTCCGGTGCCAAATATGCTAAACATTGCCTTTCCCTTGTGCTGAATCAATCTCGACGAAGAAAATGATAAAAATGCCGGACATAGAGCAGGTGTGGAAGCATTAAAAGCAGCTCTTCAATGTATTCTATATTTTCATCAAGACTTTGTAGACTACCAGTCATATCCAAGCCAAGAGGCTCCTGGAATTAGAGCATGGCTAACTGAGGGGTGGCAACAGGCAATGCAAGGTAAGAACCTGGGCCCTGAACAAGAGGGCCCCATGTGAAGCATGCCCACATTCCCACCTCCAGCATGGCCACCTAGGGTACACTTCTTGGACACAGAGCTCAGGGGAAGCTCATCCACACCATGGCTTTGTGTTGTATACAGATTCAGTGAAATCACTGTTCATCTTTCAGAGCAGTCAGAGATATGAAGGTACAATTAAAGTGAAGCAAAAAAATAGATTATAACAGCTTTCTTTTGTTGATTGAAATATAACATTCCATTTGATACTGCCTTAAAGAAATTACCATTATATTTGTGACAGAGACTCCATCAAGCTGAGCGACAATTAAGAACAGCTCCGATGTAAGCTTTATAAATGCCTGTGTATTAACTCTCCAGCTGTCACCTTCCTAAGATTACAGGACAGTTTCCTAGTGATTGGGAGAACAGGTTGTTTAGAGCAGTAAGAAGTCCAAATTATAATCAGCAGGTGCCCAAAAGCAGTAAACTACCATTACTGGTATATTTTTGGCCTTGAGAAAACTCACTCAAGTGTTTCCTTGTAGTTCAGAACCCTAATAGGCCCCTGAAATAGAGTGGCATACTACACGACAAAGCCATCAGCATACACCTGTCCAGCTGTGGATCTGACTGGGTCATTCAGCCTTCACAATGATATTTGGCCTCAACTCATTAGATAGTTTAAGAGCTACATGTTTCTCCCTTTTGGAAGGAATATACAGATGAAATACAATATACCATTGAAACAGATTCCAGACAATTGTATCCTCCACAAGAAAGAGAAACCTAACATGACATTAATCCATCAAGCCATTAGACTGTAGTACTATCCTGCTTGGTTTAATATAGTTGCTTTACAATTTCAAATCAGTGACTGGAAGGCAAGCTCTAAAGCCAGGGTGTTTATTAAGTTGTGGTTCAGTAGCAAACAAAATTTGGGGGGCTGCAGGGAAATCATCCTGAAACTCATTACTCTTAGCCTTTTAGGAACATATATTTGAATCCCAGAAGATAGAATGAAGTAAAGGTTAAGAGCAAGATAAAAAGGTAGGAATCCAGAGATCCTCTATCCCCATAGTGGGAGCCCTGCAGGAGATTTGGGATTTTAGTATAGCTTTATTTCGACTGCCAACTAAATAAAATTAAAATAAAATCCATCATCTCTCCTAAAGATTCATGAAATTCTCAAATAGTATACCTTCTGAAGGAAATCCACCTGTTAAGTTTAGGAGGATGAAGAAAGCTCATTTCTCCTTTCCCTGGTATGCAGAGAGAGAAGAGATCAAGCCTACAAAGAGTCCTATTTGCCCTTGCCTGTAACCACAACATTCCTTTACTTTGGGAGGAATATCATCCTATTTCAGGAGGATGGAGAGAACTGGAGAGTTTGGAATGTAAAAGGATGTGTGTGTGTGTCTGTGTGTCTGTGTAAAATTCCCATCAGCATTGAACTCTGAGAAATGCAATGAATGGTCTTCAAACTGCTGTTAAATTGGGTAGACACCCTACTGCTCACTGAGTCTGTGAGAACAGAAAGTCCAGATTTCAAGCAATTAGGCATTGGAGTCAGAAAAAGCCATGCTTGTTTTTCTCTGCCTTCCAGTTCATGCTGACTTAGGTGGAAAGAACCAGAAAGGGGGAGTATCTGGAAGATAGTCCTACAAAGTCACCTTTCCAGTAAGAGAGAGAGAGGTGGGGGTGGGGGAGCAACACAACTTAGATATCTAAAAATAAGGCTAGAATTTCCCACGCAGCTCTGACTTCTCAGTGGAATTCTTTCCCCCTCATTTCTTTAGTCATACGATCACGCTGACTTTTCAAGTCAGGCTTGGCTTGCAAGCACAGAGTGAAAAGGAAGTGAACAACCCCAAAGACTCTCCCAGTCCATCCCCTGACTCAGAAAGTGTTCTGTTCCATCTGCAGTGCTGTTTACTACTGGAACATAAAACAAAACCTGTTGTTTATACCCTCGCTTTTTCTCATGTTTCCTGTGCTTTTATGATACCAAGTCTGTGCGTATGCTCTGAAGATGAATTATGTGAAATCATATTTTGGCATATGTGGATGGAGAGTGAATTCTTTACAAACTTTTTAAAGATGATCCCATTTACACCACAGAAAACATTTCGGATGTTGTTATATAAAGAGTATATAAATTTTTCTTGTGTTATTTTGCATTAAAATAAAGCTTTATTCAGTCAGTAATGCACCCGAGTCTTGGTTTTCACCTGTACCACTGGGCTGTTTGAGGACCTGAAGAGGAAAGCATGGGCTTCAGCCTTCTTGCACTGGGCCAATGTTTAGTGGTCCCCTAGTTTAAAGTAACAGCAATAAGAGCACCTGGGCCAAAGGCGAGAGAAAGGAGTCTGCCACATTCTGGACTCCCCAAGAAGCAGATGTAGACATTTAATTCTCCAGTAAGGGGTTTATTGGGGGATATATATGGGTTCAATATCTCAACAGAGACAGGATTGGACAGAACTTGAAGCTACGCTGCCATGCACTCCCAACATTGGCCTTAGTCAACCCACGAGGAACTCTTGGTCAAATTAGGATGAGGGAGCTGGACCTTTCTCCACAGGATAGACCAACAGGCATGAACTACCCCCATGAAAGAGGAACGACTTAAGAGTCAGGCAGCTTTCTGAGTTAAGGCAATCCCCAAAGAGGGCTTGGCAGCTTGGAGTCACCCTTGGGAGGTTGGGAAGATAGTCCCTTCCTGAAGTGAGATCTCAGCACCCCCTCACAGCACTCACGGTAGCATCCAACATTGATAACCTCTCTGCAAGGCTGTGATTTTTCTTTCTACAAAATGTTCTGAACACCATCTCTGTCTCTCTGGAGCTCCTTTATCCTTTATTCATTAATACTCATAATTTCAGCAAGATAACTACAGCTCCCACCTCTAAACTTACTATCTCAGCTCAGATCTGCTTCATTGATTTCTTCTTTTCTACTGCACATCTGAATGGAAGAGTCCAACAAGCACTGAAAATAAGATTTCTCCAAGATACCCCTACCTGGAAATTCTGTCCTGGCCAATGACAGGATGCGTCCTGTCCACAGTTACAAACCATGTCCACAATTACAAACCAGATGCCTTGGTCTCACCCAAATGATGAAATGAAGACCAAGATGATACAACCACCCTGTCAAGAATGCCTCCTGATGCCCACATATGCCTTGTCTCACTTCTGGAATGATCTCCCCATTTCTAGCCCTGCTTCCTTCCTCACAACCAACCTCTATAACAGTTCAGGCCTGCCACCTGCTCTTGTAAATAAAATTTTATTGGTATACATAGATGCTCATTCATGGCTATAATCATCTAAGGCTCTTTCTTGATACAATATCAACCCATACTCTATACTCCTTGCCAGAGGACTTTTCTGAGATAGAGATCTGGCCATGTATTATTTTTCTAAAGGCAGAATAGTCTTGTTGGGAAAACATTGGTTTTGAAAACTGGCATGCAAATTTCAAACCCTGATCAGTTTGAGTTGGGGGCTAGCCTGGGCTACACAGTAACAGTGTGTCCCCCAGAAAATCACTATTAGTCAACTAGTCAATAAAAACAAACCACACTAGTTATCAGTCATTGATTAGCTATGTAGCCTTCGATAAGTATTTTACCTATTTCTCTAACACC